CCTAAATGTTAAATATATGTTTTTCTACTAATTGAAAATTGCTTGCTTTTGGAATTAGACAGAGAAGTTTAATTTGAGGTGACATTTTTTTCTTTTTTCTTTCTTTTTTGTAATGGAACATGCTCTGAGCGAGGTTGCCATTGCAGTTAGAGGATTGCACAGTAGACTTCCTCTTGGGTCACTTAATCACTTCCTTTAATCACTTCGCAATTGGCTAAAAGCAGCCTGGGAATACCTTACCTTTATTAAGCCTGTGACATCGTTTGTTTGCAAGAAGGAAAGTGGTCAGTATTTGTTTAATCCGGGGACAGTTAGCAACTGATAGTAGGCTCCTGAATGTTTTCACAAACCTGGCCTGGCCTCCAACACTTAGTCTAAAATAGATCCTGTTTTTCTATTCAAAGTAGAATCCACTGATATAGGTATCTGTTTTGGAGGTAGTTTGACAACCCTTATTTATATTAGAATTCATAAGAAAGATTAAACTTGGGGTTTGGCTTTATAATCCTCCATGCTGAGGACTTTGTAGAATAATTAGTTAAGGACAAATTTTGTAGTGATGTTTCTCAATCTTATCACTTAACCTTTAAAAGTAATTTCTGATACAGTATAGTTACTAGACTTTGCCCCCAGTTATCCTGCCTATTTTCATGGCTTTATAGTTGCTTTAAATGTTCTGTCCTCTGCTATGTATACTACCTATGCAAAAAGAGAGACCGAGTGGTTATCTGGTATTTATATATAGCAGTGACACTGAGTACATATTGTTTTGCTGACTACATTAAATAATCATAAATTTGTAGATTGCTTCGTCTGCCTTATTTAGCCGAATACAAGATGACCCTGAATGTAAGACAGCCCCCCCCCCAATAACTAGATTCCATACACGGAGGATTTATAAATTTTATTATAATTTTCCGTGTATGGAATCCAAATTATTGAAGGGTCATCTTAAATTCACCTCTCTCCATCACTGCAGATGGTGGGGGTAGATGTGATGAGGGGGGCAGTAATGGGGCAAGCAGTGGGGCATGGGGAGAGATGGGAAGTGTGAAGGTGGCGAGGTGTTAAATGCGGGGAATGGATAAAACTCATGTTCTAATTGAGTAAATGTCATATCTGGATATTTTTGGTATTTAACTGCTGTTTGTAGAAACTGGGATTTATAGCATTTGGGGGAACATTTTCTTTTTAGTCCGTTTTAGAGTGTAATCACCTTCATCAGGAACATTTTTCCTTTTTCTCACTGTTTCTGCAAAGAAACGGGCTACTCAGACACTGAACTGTCTGTTGTAACATTGCACTGTTCATGTTGATCTTATTGTAGGAAGTCCCAAGTGGGTGATTCTTACCTTTTACTAAAATAAACCTTCATGTTTTCAGGTTTGCAAAAATCGATTTCTGGTATGAAATTGTTCTATCCCTGGAACTTGGGAGTTTTTCATTATGGCTTCTTAAAAAAAAAAAAAAAAAA